TACTTCTTGAAATAGTCTTAGTTTCTAGGCATCAGAATCTCATACCTCTCTGGTAGCTCTTTCTTAGGTCTTCTCCTGCTCTAATCAGTAGTTTTCAAGGTGTGATTCTGGGATCAGCAGCATCAGCACCACTGAGGAAGCTGGCAGAAATGCAAATGCTGGGCCTTCCCAAGACAAAATCAAACTTTGGAAGTCAGGCTCAACATTCTGGGTTTTATCAGATCCTCCGAAGGATTCTGATGAACACTAAATGTTGAGACCAACACTCTACAGGAGATCTTCAGTGAGGACCTTCTCATTTTACACTGTCTCCCTACATCCATCCTCTCCCTGGTCTTTAAATAACAGCCAAATACTCACAAATTGAAGTACCTATCTCTAAACCCAGCCTTCATTGCTGAGCTTCATTCCCTATACCCAAGTTCCAATTTGACATTTCTTCCCAGATGTCTCAATTAAACATGGACTACTAGATAGTCTCCTAACACCCCCACCACCACCAAATCTGTTCATTGCTTATCTCAGCAAATAGTACCTCCATCCAAGAATTGCATAAGCAAGTCATTCTTGACACTTCCTACTAATGCACCAATGTCCAATCCACCTCCAGCATTTCATCCCCATTTCAACCACTTTCCATCTAGCAATCAGTATGACCATATGAAAATATAAATTGCATGTCACTATCCCAATTTAAATTCTTCAATATCTTCCCATTGCAATTTAGGTAAAACCTAAACTCAAATAGCATACAAAATCCCTGACCCAGGTCACCTCTTCAACATTATCTTGGGTCTCTATTCTTCTTGATTCACTCATTGTAGTCCACAGCTCTGAGAATATTTCAGTTCCTGAAATACTTCTTCACAAAGAGTTTTTCCTTTTCACCATAAGCTCCAAACCACCCTTACCTTCATATCTCAAAACTTTTGTCTAAATCCTCTCATCCTTCAGATTTCTGCAAAATGTTGAAAAAAGCTTGAGTTCCTAATCTAAATTGAATTAGTTGTTCTCTCATAAAACCCTAATTTCTCTTCAATTTTAACTACATTAACTGAATGATTTTTATTTGCTTAGTTTTAACATTTGTCTCCCACACTAGACTATAAGATTCATAAGGCCACTATATAAGTAGCACCTAGCAGTGCATGGTACATATAAGGAAAGAGTTGTGGGTTAATAACGATTGTTGAGATTTCTATAAAATCTTTCCCTCTGTCCTCTCTTGGGAGCATTAATTTAGAGATTACTGAGTAGCCACAGATGATTTTTGCAAATAAGATATCATACTTACATCTATCATTTTCTTCTGATTTCTATAGCAAAATCAGATGTTATATTTTACTACCTTCCTGTAAAATTAACAATGAGAATTGGTTAATCTTTAGCTTATATTTACTCACTCTAAACAGTTAACTAAGTTTTAGAGGCTGCAACTGACAGAACCAATAACCCCCATGATCACATCAGTAAGTCCTACCCTCCTCACCATATTCACAGTACCATTCCTATCCAAGCCTTATAACCTCACTATTAGATTATCTCTACCAGTTATCATTGGTCTCTCAGTCTTGACATTTTATTTTATTTAAGTCTATTTGTGCCAAGAATATTTAGGGGGAAAAAATGTACCCTACACAAATACTGACTCCTTTCCATTATCATTAAGGCCTTCTTATGGTGATACATATGAACAAGCCAATCCCATGTCTTAATTAAAACCTGAAGGTTACATGCAATTACATGTGCTTGACAATTTGACTATTTCAAGCTAAAAGTGACATATAATTCTAATTCATTTCTAAAGCCCAAAGTTGGAGTTTGCTCAAAATAGATTCCTGAAACCAAAACTATGAAAATGTCTATGTCATCCTCTAAACTCTGAACAAGAACTAAAAAGGTACAAATTTCAGCATTTTCAAATATACAGTATATATGCTTGACTAGGAAAACAATATGATAGAAAATACATATTTTGGAGAGGAAACCACCCCAATAATTTAGCTATAACAAAATGAGTATGCCCCTAAAATCAGCTTTTTTAAATTATACGTATAATAGATATGTGTATACACATATGTATAATAATAGTTAAACATTATAACTTGGGGATTCCATGTTTGCAAATCCCCCTACTTGACAAAATTTTTTTTAATGCCCATTATTCACAGCACTCTCCTAGTCATTTACAGACATGTCCACAATGGTAAAAAACTGGAGTCTCCTGACTTGCTTGTTCTTACTTCAACTCTCATATTGTAAAGAAGTATCCTTTTCATGGTTAATTTAGTATCATGTTTTTCTCATTTTTTGCTTTTTATTGATGATTTCACTGTTGCAAGTGGTCCTAAGCACAGGGCTAAAATAATGTGTACTGTGATGTCCCCAATAGAGAAAATGCTTGTTAATCATCCTCATTTAAGCATAAATTACAGCACTACTGGCAATGATTTCAATACTAATGAATCAATAATATATATTAAATAAGATGTCTTTAAACAGAAACTCACATAAGGCAAGGTTTTATACTGATCAGTTGACAACAATGTTGTTAACAAAGGCTTACCAGATCATAATCCTGTTATTTTCCCCTAAAAGTAATAACTCACTATTCACTAATGCAGTGTTCATAGTAACTTCTGGAACATAACTAATTATGTATGTATGTATGTATGTGTGTGTATATATATAGAGAGAGGGGGGGGGGGAGATTGAGAGATTTACTGAAAAGACACTGCAAAAGTCATTCTGAAAAGCTTCCTATGTTTGCAGTAGCATAATGACATATGGGGGCATGGCATCTACTATGTCCTAGTCCTGTTTAAACAACATTGACCCAAAGCAAAAAGTGTAAAATCTACCAAGTTTGTATTTTGGTCTGTCTTAGCTTCTACTACCTTTTCCACTCAGTGGTATACTTCTCCCCTATTCAGGTACTCTAGACTATAATGCTTTTTTGCAAGCACTTGGCCCAATTGACAGAAACCAGTCAACTACTTATTAATCATGCTTAAATGTGAACCAGACTTGTGCTTAAATATCTAACTCGTGGCCTTACTTGTTTAGAATGGAGAGAAGATATTAAGCATGTGAAATAAAAACAAACCCATCCGGATCAAAAGTAAACTGAATATTCGTAATTTCAGTTGGATGTGGCTAGAGAGATAAGAAATACACAAGGGAAAAAAGCCTAAGCCTTGGCTCTCTTTTAGGGAAGACTTAATGCAGGATCCCAGGAGCTGAGGTGTGAGCTGGGGAAGTTCCTCTTCCAAAAGGGTATCTTTAACCCTTGCTTCCCTCTAGCATTTGATTACTCATTTTTCAAAATGAGTAATGACAAATTTATAAAAAAAATTCAGTGGAACACTCTTAACAATGACATTAGTGCTTGAAAAGGTTTTTGTTTGTTTTTATAGGTAAATGAAACTCTCCTTTTGAAAGTCATTTTTGTTTTCATTTTTCAAAACTACATATTTTAATTGAAAATGGGCCAGGATATGCTTAGAGCAGTGATAAAAGTTACAAACAGAAACGTCAATACTTTCTACATACTAAATAAAAGAACTGTCTGGGATTTAGTGAGGAAGTGACTGTAACAATACTCAAGCTACATTTTAATTAAATATTAAAACAACTCAAAGACAGAAGTATGACACTGAGTTCATGGCCATGTGTTCTTAAATTGGGATGTAAATCCCAATCTAAACCAACAACTGAAATTCATGTGTAATAAAAAGCTAGGAAATCTTACAGCATAGTAAATATATCAAAACCAGTCACCATATACTTATTCTTTAGAGAAGCTAAGGATACTCCTCCTACCACCTCTTCAAGACTCGGCTAGGTTTATTATTTTTAGCAATGACTTACAAAATAATGACATTCACCCCTGAATAATTCCATATTTCTCTCTGCCTAGAATATTTTATAGATAAAAATCTTAAGTGTTTTCTCTTGCACTAATATTCTCTTGTTTATGGCATATCAAAAAAATAGAAGTGAAATCTCAATCTCCTGTTTTCAAACTACATCAAGGTCTAACTCTAGTAAGTCTCCCAGAACCAAAACTACTCTTTCAGATTTCTTTTCTCTTAATCTTAGAACTTAAAGGGCCATTTACTGACAGAAATTATTTCTTATGAATTTTTAAGCATTTATTTTGTAGTATCATTTTGCAATTAAAAGTTCAAGGTCAACAAAGCATGCAATAAAAAAGAGAAAGTATTTTCTACAAGCCATTTATACCAGAAATACAAAACTAGATTTCTTTTTAAACATTGTAAACTTTTTCTATAACTAGACTTCTACCTTTGTCCTAACTAGTTACAGATAATGAAAGATTCACCATAAAACTCCAAGAATGAAAGTTAACCTACCAAAAAAGTCACACTGGGAGGCAGGAAAAGTACCTTGCCCGATGTAGAAGATTCTAAAGAACAAAGATAACAGGCTTCAAGTTTACCTGCTCCCCAAAGCCACCTCTTAACTAAATTTGGGACAGAGTATCAACAGACATTGTATGTGTGTATAGTTTTTCAACTGATGACTGAGCAGAAGCAAATCCCAGGCTCAACCAGGGGCTGCAGGGTCCTGTGCCCTGCGTCGCGGGTGGAAGCTCCGATTAAGAGGCCAACGCATGACACCCGCCTGAGCCACAGCTGGCAAAGCAGAGCCTCAATCCTGCTCGATCTGACCCTCAATGAGTCACTGGCCCAATCATGACACCACATCATTTGCTAGGACGTCTTGTATTTATTTCCTCACGTCAAGAAAAACAGAAAACAATTTAAACTAGTAATGAAAGAACGGCGCCCTAATCGGCGCCCTAATCGCCGTTCTTAAGAACGAAAGCCCGAGTTACTCTCTAGGAGCCCTCTTGGCCCAGCAGAAGAGGCAGAACAGGGAAGAAGAGTGGGTCGAGAGGGTGAGGACCCGGGAAGCCACCGCCACGCCCCAGCCCTCCCTCACCTGCCTGCCCGAGCTTTCCCGGGCGCCCGTACCTTCGGCCAGCGACTCCTCCAGGGTGACCTGGTAGCGGCCGACTGAGAACACCCGGACACCCACGGACGAGCCGCCAGAGCCGCAGCCGGCCCCGGCCGCCACGCCACCCGCTGCTCCGCCGCCGCCGCTTCCCTCCGACTTGGGCATCCGAGAGAACTTCTTCATGGTCCCGCCGGCGCGCTGGAGGGCACGGGGAAAGCGCAAGGGCAAGCGAGAGGGCGAGTCCCCGGCCCGGCGCGCGCCGGGCGTCCGCGAGGGGTCGCCGCCCTTCGCCCGTCCGAGCGTCCGAGCGTGCTGCGGGCCGCCAAGCCTCACATTCCGCGCGCCGCGAGCGCACAGCTCCAGCCCGCCGCCCGCTCCGCGGCTCCGCTGCAGCTGCCCGGCTCCCGCAGAGGGCGGTGGGGAGGGCGGAGACAGGGCGGGGCACAGGGGGGCGGGCCCGAGCGCTGGGGCGAGGACGACGCCTCCGCGAGCGCCCCGGGCGCCTTCGCCGCCTCACAGAATGCCCGAGCGCGAGCCTGGGAGGAGGGAGCGAAGGAGGGAGGGAGAGGGAAGGGGCGGGGCGGCCGGCCGCTCAGGGCAGTGGGCTGGACCGCGCTGCTGCACACCCTTAGGACCGCAGCCTGCCGCGCTGCCGCCGCCCAGCCCGACCCGTCCCGCCCGCCACTCGCAGCCGTTGGTGGCACAGCGCTGCTGACAACCGCTCACAGAGCCCGGGCGCCCCGCGCAGGCGCGCTACTGCGCCGCCGGAAGTGACGGTTCCGGCTCTTGTCACGTGGAGGAGGAACCGGGGACGTGATTGTGGGGGTTGGGGGTGAGAGCGAAGTCGGGGTCCCGGTTTTGGGTCGCGCTGGGAGGGTTTGGGCCTGGTCTGTGAGGCCATACTCCAAGCAGAGAGATGGCCCAGGGACTGGTTCCCGCGCTGGCTCTGCGACGGGGGCTGTGAATTCAGCCCGGCGTCGGTATGTCACTCTGGGGGTCCTAAAAATGCAGCCCACAACTTTACCCTCTCCAAGGAACTTCTTGCTTTATTTCTTAAGACAGTTTTCCAAACCTAATACCCTGTGAAGCTTCTTCCGCTCGCCCACCTGAGCGTGGGAGGTGGGATCATTGGAAAACGGGAAACAGGAGTGAATTCAAGTAACGCAACTTCTGAAGCCGCGGTGTTGTCGCACTGTAGCGGACGCTTGCGCTAGGAAGCATTTTGTAACTTATAAATTACTTAGAACTACTTTTAAAATCTCCTTTTGTGCGGTGCAACAATCTTGTGGGGTATTCAAAACAAATATTTAAGCAGACCAATTTATCACCTTTGACTGAGAGAGCTTAACGGAGTTGCCCAAGGTCACCCAGCTGCCTAGTGGTAGCGGGGACCATCCATCGACTCCCAGTTCCACGCTTCTGGCCATTCTGAAAAAGTAGTTAAGGATCATCACATCTTTTAAGATCCGCAGATTTAGGACTTTCGAAGCAAAAGCAGTTATTGGTGCCCCCCCCCCAACCCTTAAAAAAATTTACTTTAAAAAAAAAAAAAACTGTTTCATCAATTTAATAACCTGATTAAACTGAAGAGTCACTTCCCTGCAGAGTAGAGCAGGCAAAATGAAAATGGGCAAAAGGAAGAAATTTGGCAGTGGTAAGGAATGGCAAATTGTAGAGCACGTGTAAAGAGTGCAGCAGATTCTCAACTCCAGCCTACTTTTCCACATAGGAAACGGCCACCATACCCAGGGTTTGTAATTTCTTCACAGGAGCCAAAAATCTGGAATTTTTATTCTAATGTGGCATTTCCCAGATTTTAAAATATAGGACAAATTATGTCTGCTGGACTCGAGTGTGCATCTTTTATGAAAGTAGATTAAAATGGTTATTTTCCCATTTCTTAGTCCAACTTCGTAATGAAGTGCAGGCAAAAACATAGGAAAATGTGCTCACGCAAAAAAGACTTGGAGCTTAAAAATCATTCTTTCTTCCTCTCTGCTATTTGAAGAGAAGCTATTTCTGCCAGCAGTAAAGCAATGCTCCAGATTTAGGCATTTCTGCTCCATAACCCACTAAAATTCTTCATCCAGAGACCTGACCTTTAAAATACATTCCAGCTCAATGGAAGTCAGATTATGTGTCAGATGATTGATATGATGTGGCAATTGGGGATTTCCACTTGGAAATAAGCGGACCATTTTCCTTACTAGGGGGATTCACTATAGAGTCTCATTCCTACAACATTTGAATTATGTTTTTCAGGCAGAATAATGGAGAAATTTACTTCTTGCAATTCAAAACCGGAGACAGCCTCCAGTTTGGGGTGGGGGGTGGGGGGCTGCAAAGTTTGAGCCTAATGCAAGTTCACCTAATTACAACACAGGAATAAAGTTATCATTTTGGGTGTCAACTTACCACAATTGTCATGGTAAAGAAAATCACTTCCTTGAGCCCATGTAATGTTTTCTGATTTTGAAGCTTAAGCTATAGGCACCCTCTGAAAACTATGAGCAACAACAAGCAATATGGTCTTTGATTTGTCACCAAACATGATGAAACTTGAATATACTCTGATCTTCACAGAATATTTTAACTACACATATTCTATAACAGTAACATTATATTACTTAAAAACACAAAAATGCTGTCAGGTGCAATTGCACAAGCCTGTAATCCCAGCTACACTTGAGGCCAGTCTGGTGAAAGAGAAAGAGATAGAATAAGAGAGCAAAACTACCATATTTCTAACCAAAGTGCAAAACATTTACAAGCACTACCAAAAGATCTTGATACCTGTTGTCAGGCAGATTGTATCCTCCTAGTAAATGTGTGACTTAAGAAGAGTATTCTTAAACCAATTTGTAGAAATTGAAATACTGAGGGCAGGCTATTGTCAGTAGGAAAAATCATGCTCTAAGAATTCTAGTCTTTTAGATAGTTTCAAAAAGTGTTTTAGGCATATATTGATTTCTCAATCCTATGCTGAAAAATTACTGGTTTAAAATTACTGGTTTATTACTGTGTAGTAGTACCTGCCTATTATCCCAGCTTTTGGGAGGCTGAGGCAGGAGGATTTCAAGTTTGAAGGCTGCCCAGGCAACAAAACAAAACCCTATCTTAAAAAAAAAAAAAATGACTTTCATAGTACTGAATCATGCAGTTCTTATATGTAATAAACTACTGTTCTTGTTCTGGAAGTAGTGCTACACAGCTATTATCCCAGCTACTCAAGAAAACAAGTCAGGAGGATTGTTTGAACCCAAGAATTCAGGATCAACCTGGGCAATATAGCAAGACTCACTCTCTAAAACAAAACAAAAAAAATGGATATAGTAGTTCTGAAGCAGAAATTTTGGTGACTATGAAGACATGGGTTCACCACTAATGTTGAAAAGGAAATATTTCCAATGCCCATATTCAAGAAAATCCCCACTATATGTGTGTGGGACTCATGTAGAAACAGTTTCAGGCATTGTGGTGGTAGAGAAGTACTTTATATTTCTCTTAGATACAGCTCAGATTGCCTATTCTTCAACAATTTTATCTTTGTTGTTGTTAAGAGCTTTTTTGCAAATGCTCAGATCCCATTCTTTCCATGTTCCTACACCCATCTCCCAGTGGTAGTAGCCAGAGTTGAACCAAGATGACACCATCAAAAACTGTATAGCTGAATCAATGTGCTCTTTCAGGTTTGATTTGATACTTCCACATTAGGAGATCATTCATCCATCAAAAATGATGTGGAGGTTATTAGCTACATCAACATCGAAGGTCATATTCAATTTACTAGTTTATTATAATGGATACAACTCAGGAACAACCACATGGAAGAGGCAAAGCATGGAGGAGGGGATGCCTAGGGGTCCCCTTCCTTCCTGGGGCACACCACCTTCCCGGCACTTCTACATGCTTACCAACCCAGGAGCCCCATCTTTTATTTGTATTAGACCATGGCTATGAAATACCCGACTTGGGACTGGAGTTGTGGCTCAGCAATTGAGCGCTCACCTAGCACGTGCAGGGCCCTAGGTTCAATCCTCAGCACCACATATGAATAGATAAAATAAAGGTATTGTGTCCAACTACAACTAAAAAACTAAATATTTTTTAAAAAGAAAAAGAAAAATACCTGACTTGACTTGCTGTTTAAAAATGAAATCTCCAGAGAAAAATGTGAAGATAATGTAGATTCTGTTCATCTCAAACATTGGCATTGAGGTGACTTACAGTCAAAACAAAGAGAATTGTTTCACAAAGGTAAAAGAAATTATATTTCAATTTTTTATAGCTATCTCAATCTTTCAAATGCTTTCAAATAGTTGGGAAGTAGCCACCTAACAAAGACTCTTTTAAAAATAGATTGTTTCACATTGCAAGGTTTCACATTACACTATTCTGATAAAGTCAAGAGAACATTGTAGCTAACTAAACTATTCTGAGATCCTTACACAGGAAGAATTTTGACCATGAAGGAAGGGAAAATTGTTATTTATGTCTTCTATGGGAAAATTATAACCCTTCCTGTCACTTTAACCCTCATCTATTTTGCATTAGAATGCCTCTCAAAGACAATATGTAAAGTAAGAAAGACTGACACAGATCAAATAAAATATGCTTATCCCACTAGGCTGATTTCATTGCCATAATTGCCTTTATAAGTCATCTCTTCAAATGCTTAATTATTTTTACTGAACTCAACATTTTCCTTTGGTGATACATCTTCTATTATTCTTAGCTTATATTTTATTAAGAATAATTTACCCAAAAAAAGAGAATAATTTACTACAGACTTAATATCTGTATCTTTGTTTTTAAAAAATAAAGAAAATTCTGCCTGGCATGATAGTGCACACCTGTAATCCCAGTGCCTTCAAAGGTTGAAGCAGGAGGATTACAAGGGCAGGGGCAGCCTGGGCAATTTAGCAATACCCTGTCTCAAAATAAAAAGGGCTGGGGCTGTAGCTCAGTGGTGAAGTGCTTGTTTCAGGTCTTTCAGTTCAGTCCCTAATGCTGCAAATCATAATAAAGTTCTAAAGTCCAGTTAAGTAATATATACATCTCCATAATGAAATGTTTTTTTCAAAAATCACCAATATTTAAATCTTCTGTTAAAACTGACATAATCACGACATCTTGTAAACATTTATATATACCTAAAAAAATCAATCTAGTAGTACAGTTTA